TCAAGTCACAATGACTTTGACATTCCTGAGTTAATCATTATATTCCTTCAGAGTTAAGCTGAAATCTGTAGTGCTCATTAAATTAAACAGTGGCAAAGGTTGGCTGCTTACTATTGTATGGGCACCTGCAATGAGCGTCAGAAATGAACACGTACTCCTTCGTTTCCTGCAAAAAACAATGTTTCTCTGAACTCCTATTACATTCTGCAACTGAAATCTGTACATCAGCAATCAGCCTGGCTGAGACATTCTGTTGTACAGGTAGACCTTGCCCTGGAGTCATTCCTTTGATTGTGGGCCTTACTTCCATTAGAAAACATGTCTGTATTTGACAGACTCAACAGGGCTCTTCGGTAGCAGTCAAGTCCAACTTGAGATCAACCGCTCTGCCCTGGAGCTGTCCAGCATCTTAACTACCTTATGTACTAGCTGCTGGAATTCAGAATCTAGTGACTTGAATTCTTCCTTTTTGCGATGCTCATTAATAGAGAGGATAAATGATGAGATAGAATCAAGGTTTACTGTGGAAATCATAAAGATGTTATCCGAATGGTTGAGCTGTCTCTGAAAGAATTGGCGGCTGTATGGATCCTTTTTGCTTTGGTAACAGTAGTGCTCTCTCATTTATTATATATAATATTAAATAGCAGCCTGTACTAAATAAAGCAGGTTCTATGAAAAGGCCAGTGAGTAATTTCCACTTACATTCCTGTACCTACATGAGCTGAAATAGCAGCAGTGCTTTAGTTACGCTAAAGGTTGCCACTAAGTGAATGTTTATATGAATATATATGTATATTTTATTTTATATATAGTTTTTGTATCAGTCAAATATTTAGTACAGCTACTTGAAATCATCATTTTCATTATATAGTACAAGTACTTACTATAAAAATAATAGGATGAATAATTTACATAATTTAGTAAATATTATACCCTTAGTACTGAAAGAATATTAAGATATAATGTAACAAGACAGATTTTTTAACACTGTATACATTTACCAACATATATAACTAAATATAAAGGTAAGCTTGAGTGGAAAACCAAATTAATAGGTAAAGCCGAAGTATTTCAGCACCAAATCACTTCTCTCCAAAAAGCACCGCAAAACAAAATATTTAACTCACAAAGTCCCACTCACCTCTCTCTTTGCATCACTACTGTTTTTCACACAGTACAGAAATTATTTTTTTTTTCTGCTGACAGATCATTTGACTATACTATTGTATTAATTCTTGTAAACTTTTTATCTACCAAATACTTCAGGGACAGATGAACAGATAAGCACAAAAACAAAATTGTCTAAATTTATAAAATGTTAATGTTTATGTTCTGCCAATCAACAATCTACTCAAAAATTGATGGTTTTGGTGCTAGCTAGGTATTCCATGTTTTTAAGGAATACGCCAAGCACAATAACCACTACAGCATGACCGAGTGCGTATGGTTACAAGAATGCCCTGACGTCCCCCAAGTAAGTAGTCAAACCATTTCATTATGATATGACTTCTTAATTAAGGTCTACCAAGAACTGGTGGTTTCTTCCTCAATGAAGAGCTGAATATTCCATGCATGGTCAACTTATTGGCAGGGAACATCGGCTAATCTCAGCCAATGAGCTAAGCCCTGCGCTGCTTGGCTTAGTTCAAGCAGACAGCTCTCAAAGAGGAAGGGACCACAACTTAATTACACACAGTAAATTATCAAACCATTAGCAAATGGCATAACTATTTAAGTTCGGGGACAGGGGGGGTGTCTCCATCGCAAACCTGACACCATATCCTCTACTGCGCACTGTAGTATCAACGTAGTTTGGAGTGTTCTGTGAATATGTTTTGCTGATATTTTTAAACAAAAACTTCTTATTAATGAAGCTGTTAATAATAAGAGAAAAAAACTACAACAACAATAAACATTAATTGTATACAATATTTTGGACTGGAGGGGGGTGAGATATGGTAGCACATTTTTATTAATATAACCATTTTATTTTAAATCATTATCCAGCCTCCTGTACACTTTTTTTTTTTTTAATAACTATATTATAGTTTACATTTAACTAAATCATTGAAAATACTCAGTGGTTAATGGGTTATTTGCTGGTAACATGTAACGTATCCTTTCGACTTTTTTTTAGTTTGTATAATTTGATAAATAGCATTTTGCTACAACGTTCAATTCAACAAAGAATACAATTATATTATTTAAATGTATTTGTTTTTGTGCTTTAATATTTATGCTATGTGTTAACTGGCTTTTCAGAAGTATACATTAGTCATTATCATTTCAAAGAAAGTAATTATTTTATCCATAGACTGTTATTGTTCGTTTATAAATAAAATTATAATCATACGATAACGATAACAATAAACAGAACGTGTTTTACTTTATAATGGCAAATGATTGCTTTACAGCATCTGATATATTGTTACATTGTTGTACAATAATAATTTTGAGTTTGGTAATTGCCAAAATGTATATATATATATATATATTATTGTCAAATGCAGCTAATTCTAATCCAAGACATTGTAAAGCATGAATATTGCTAGTTACCAAATTGCAGTCTTTAAATATTATTTCCTGACCATTATTCATGGCAGCATTTACTCATGGGTTAGCTCCTCCCATTACAGCAGAAAGGACAGGAAATAGAACTTTGAAACTGGTATAAATAGATCCTCCCCCTTTCCATCAGGCAGTCTTTTTTACTGTCCTTCACATCAGTTTGGAAGGAGTCTGCTTATGCAGGCCTAGATTTTTTTCTTTTATGCTCACCAGGCAATATTTTTTAGGCCCTGCCGAGGTTCAGCCTCTAAGCCCTGAAGACCCAGCAAAACGCACTAAGCCTGGGCAC